GCTTATGTGATTTATTCAAGGAGATATTATTGGATTTATTTAAGGAGAATTATTTGATTTGCTCGAGTGAATATTTGACTTATTCGTGGCATTATTTGGTTTATTTGTGGAAATATGCAAGATTTATTCGGGGAGAAAATACTTGATTTGATTGCGGCTATTTGATTGGTTCGTGGCAATATTTGACTTGTTCGTGGACACACCATTTTATTCATTCGTGGATATATTCTATTTATTCGCGCAAAATTATGCGTGGAAATATTTGATTCGTTTGTGAAATTATTTGACGTGGAGAATTAATTGTTGGATTCGAGAAGAATTATTTGATTCGTTTGGGTAATTATGTGATGTATTTGAGGAGGCTATTTAATATATTCGTGAAGATTATTTGACTATTCTGAGGAGCATTGTTTGATTTGGCCGAGCGAAATAATTTGATTTGCTCAAGCGATTATTGATTTATTTGTGGGTGATTATGTAACTTAATTAAGGTGATTACTTGACTATATCGAAGATATGTCATCTTGTTCGAGGAAATATTATTTTGTTCGAAGTGATATTCGATGTGATCGAGGACACATTATTTAAGTAACTCGTGAGGATTATGCGACTTTTCCATGAAAACTATTTGACTTATTAGAGGAGAATTATTTGATTTGCTCGAGATAACACTTGATTTATTCGTGGAGTGTGATATATTCATGTATATACGTGATTTATTCATGGACATTATTTGATTTTGTCGAGGAGACACTATTTGGTTTATTAGTTGAGGATTATCTGATTTATTGGAGGATATATTTATTTTGCTCGAGGAGATATTACTTGATTGATTTGTGGAGATATTATGTGATCTATGCGTGGATGTTATCTGATTTGGTCGAAGAGATGTTATGCGATTTACGTGTGAAAATATTTGATTCGTTCACGGAAATATATGATTTGCTTGAGGAGATATTGTTTTGCTCGAGGTTACATTATTTGGATTATTCGAGGAGATATTATTTGAACTGAGGAGGTGCAATTTTATTTATTTGTGGATGATTATTTGACTTATTTGAGGAGAATATTTGATTTATGCATGGAGGATTATTTGATCTGCTCAAGCGATTATTGGATTTATTTGTGGATGCATTTGATTTATTCGAGGAAGCGATTATTGGATTTATTTGTGGATGATTGATTGACTTAATTGAGGTGATTACTTGACTAGTTCGAGGAGATATTATATATTTTGCTCGAGGGATTCTTTGATTCGTTCGTGGATATACTTGATTTGATCGAGGAATTATTCGATTCGATTGTGGATATATTCGATTTGATCGTGGATACATTTGATTTGTGCGTTGATATATTTGTTCATAAATAATGCGAGTCGTGGTTTCAAATGGAGGATATTTTAGGAGAGTGTTTATCGTATTTTTTGGTGCACTCATCGATAGACTCGAGGAGGCCGATTAAAATTATGCGATTCGATTTCTTGATATATCCGGAGCCTCTTATTTGAATTTTCATGTGAAAATGTGGATTTTGTTGAAATGGATTATTCGTAATTTTTAAGCATGTCATTGCTCGAGCATGTCTTAAATCGAGGAGATGGTGATTTTTGTATTTGATCTTTTGTTTTTATTGCGTGGAGCATTGCAAAATGGATAACTTGAATATAATGTGGATAATGATATATCTCTGAATTCTTGTTGAGGAAACATCGAAATAACCCGAGTCTTGACGAGCCATGTCGGACGAGCTGTTGAGTGTCAAGGACAAGATGAGCGAGCATGGATCCATAAAAGGTGGGTGATAAGGAAGGATGAGCCTGGATGATGTCGATCACTGGGGGCGATTTCAAAGGCAGAAATCATTCTCTTTTGGAGAGGTAGGATAATGGGAAGTGATATTCAAGATCTTCAGGTATGAAATTAATCTCAACTTTTGTTGGCGGTCAAGTTCGACCGACACAATTTTGTGGTACATTGAACATCTTGGCATTCTTTTTTGGAGGAATGCTCATTATTTGAATATCTTGAGCGAAATGTGGATGAGATTGTGGTGTATATGGATGTGTTTGGAATTATCATTCTAGTGACTAGCATAATGCAGAAAAT